CCAGCACCCCTGCACTCACCAGCAGGTGAAAGTCTACACCCATCAGAGCTAGTCTGAAAATTCTAGAAGAGATCACTGCTTCTTCAAATGAACATCAACGCAAGGCTACAAGGAACATGAAAAATCAAGAAAACATGACACCAACAAGCAACATTATAAACTCCAGTAACTGACCCCAAAGAAAAGATGTATGAACTATCTGACAAAGAATTCAAAATAATTGTTTTAAAGAAACTCAGCAAACTATAAGAGAACACAGATAGAAAACTCAAAGAAATCAAGAAAATCATACATGAATAAAATTAGAAGTTTAATAAAGATAGAAATCATAAAAAAAAGACCGAAAAGAAATTCTAGAGCTGAAGGATGTAATGATTGAAATGGAAACACAATAGAGAGCTTCAACAGCACACTTCATCAAATAGAAGGAAAAAAACACAATAATATGAAGACAGGTTATTTGAAATTATCCAGTCAGACAAGAAAAAAATGAAAGAGGGTGAAGAAAGCCTATGAGATTTACGGAAAATCAGAAAAAGAATCAAGAGAAAGGGGCAGAAAGATAATTTAAAGAAATGATGGATGAAAACTTTCCAAATCTTAGGCAGGAAATGCATATCCAGATTCATGAGGCTCAGGATGAACCAAACCAAGACTATACTGAGACACATTATAATCAAATTGTGAAACGTCAAGGATAAAGAGAGAACTCTGACAGAACAGGAGAAAAGCAACTTGTCATATATAAAGGAACCCCCATAAGATTATCTGTGGATTTCTCAGCAGAAACCTTGCAAGCCAGAAGAGAGTGGGATGATATATTTAAAGTACTTAAATAAAAAACTACTAACCAAGAATACCACACCCAGCAAAACTATCATTTAAAAACCAAAGAAGTGATAGTCTTTCCCAGACAAACAAAAACTGAGGGAGTCAGTCACCACTTGACTTGCCTTGTAAGAAATACTTACGGAAGTTCAAAGTTGAAATGAAAACATGCCAAACAACAATGCAAAAGTATATGAAAGTATAATTGCCACTGGTAAAGGTAAATATATAGACAAATACAGAAAAATATAAGACTGTAATGGTAGTACATAAATTACTTTTAACCATAATATAAAAGTTAAAAGACAAAAATGTGTTAATGGATACACAATACAAAAAGAAACAAACTCTGGCTACAAGAATACAAAGTAGGGGGGCAGTAAAAGTGTAGCGCTTTTGTATGCAATTAAAATTTTTATCAACTTAATGTAGACAGTTATAACTTTAAGATATTTTATGCAAGACTTTAGATAACCATAAAGATAAAAACTTATAAGATTTACAAAAGAGAAATAAATCAAAGAAAATCAGTACCAAAATAATCAAATAACAAAAAAAGAGATGTATAAAACAACTGCAAAACAGACAGAAAACAACAAAAACAATAAAATAAAAACAATTCCAAAGCTATCAATAATTATTTTAAATGTAAATGGATTGACCTCTCCAATCAAAAGGCACAGAGTAACTGAATGGATTTAAAAAATTTAGATCCAGTGATATACTATTTACAAGAGACTCATTTTAGATTTAAGGATACACATAGGCTGAAAGTAAGATGTGGCAAATAACAACCAAAAGAAAGCCGAGGCGGCTACGTTTATCTTAGACAAAAAAGATTCTGAGTCAAAAACTGTCTTTAGAGACAAATGTCATTACATAATGCTAAAGAGTCGATTCAACAGGAAGATATAGCAATTACAAGTATATATGCACCCAACATCAGAGCACCTAAATATATAAAGCAAGTATCAATGGATCTGAAGGGAGAAATTGACAGAAGTACAATAATAGTAGGACACTTCAGTACCTCACTTTCAATAATAGGCAGATTATCCAGACAGAAAATCAATAAAGAAACAGCTGACTTGAATGTCACTATAGATCAAATGGATCTAAAAGAAATATAGAACTTTCTATCCAACAGCAGAAGAATACACATTCTTCTTAAGAGCACATGAAACATTCTCCAGGATAGATCACATGTGGGGTCACAAAAAAAGTCTTAACAAATTTATGAAGAGCGAATCATTCCAAGTATCTTTTCTGATCACAGTGAAATGACACTAGCAATTAATAACAGTAAGTAAAGAAAATCAGTAAGAAAACAGTAACAAAATGCACAAATACATGGAAAGTAAATAACACACTCCTGAATAATCATTATGTCCAAAAAAGCAGGGATTTTAAAAGTATCTTGAGACAAACAACAACAATAACACAATATGCAAAACTTATGGGAGGCACCAAAAGCAGTACTAACAGAATTTTATAGTGACAAATGCCTACATTAAAATATATAACTCAAATAAAGAAATCTAACTTTACATCTCAAAGAACAAGAAAAAGAACTAAAACCAAAATCAGCACAAGGAAGGTAATAATAAAGACCAAAATAGAAATAAATCAAATAATGAATAAAAAACAGCAGGAAAAAAATCAACAAAACTAAGAGTTGGTTTTTAGGAAGAATAAACAGTCAACAAACCCTTAGTTAGACTAAAAATAAGAAAAGAAATAAATAAAATCATAAATGAAAAGGAAACCTTACAATGGATGCCTCAGAAACAAAACAGATCATAGGAAACTATTATGAACACTTATATGCCAACAAGTTAAATAATCTAGAAGAAATGAATAAATTCCTAGAAATGTACAACCTACCAAAACTGAAGAAAGATGAAAAAGCCTGAACATACTAATAATAAATAAGGAGATTGCATCAGTAATTAAAACCTATCAACAAAGACAAATCCCAGACCAGATGGCTTCATGGATGAATTCCACCAAATATTCAAAGAAGAATTAATACTAATCCTATTGCATTCTTCCAAAATATGGAAGAAAAGGGAATACTTTTAAATTCATTTTATGAGGTCAGCACCACTCTGATACCAATGCCAGACAAAAACACAAGACAAAAAAACTCTGGCCAATATCCCTGATGAACATAGATGCAAAAATCCTCAATAAATTTCTAGCTAACTGAATTTAACAGCACTTTAAAATAATCATACAGCATGACCAAGTGAGGTTTATCCCTGTGCTGCAAGGATAGTCCAACAGAGCAAACTGATCAGTGTGATATACCATATTAACAGAACGAAAAAAAGAAACACATGTACATTTCAATAGATGCATAGAAAGCATGTGACAAAATTCAATATCCAGTTATAATAAAAACTAAAAAAAATAGGTATACAAGGAACTAACCTCAACACAAATAAAGCTGTATATAAAAAGCCCAGTGAAAATCAATACAGTATAAGACAAGGGCACCCATTCTTACCATTTCTATTCAATACAGTACTGGAAATCCTAGCCAGAGCAAGAAAAAAGAGGGAGGCATCCAAGTAAGAAAGGAAGAAGTAAAACTATCTCTATTTGAAGATAACATATTCATATATGTAGAAACACTAAAGACTCAACAACAAAAAACTGTTAGAACGGATAAATGAATTTAGTAAAGTTGCAGAACACAAAATCAACAACAACAAAAAACCCAGTCACATTTCTATATACAACCTGAAAAGGAAATTAAAAAAGTAATTTCATTCACGATAGCAATAAAAATAAAATATTTAGGAATAAATGTAACTAAAGTGAACCGAAGACTTGTATACTGAATATTACAAAACATTGATAAGGATTAAAGGAAAGATAGATGGAAAAATTAACATTGTTAAAATGTCCATATTACCCAAAGTGCCCTACAGATTCAACGCAATCCCTATCAAAATTTCAATGTCAATCTCTAAGGAAATAGAAAAAAAAAAAACAACCCTAAAATTCATATGAACCACAAAAAAACCCTGAATAGTCAAAGCAATCTTGATTGAGCAAGATGAACAAAACTGGAGGCATCATACTTCCTGATTTCAAAACATATTTTAAAACTACAGTAATTAGAACAGTAAAATACTGACATAAAAAGACATTCCATTGATCAATGAAACAGAATAGAGAGCCCAGAAATAAATCCATTCATCTATGGACTACTGATCTTTGACAAGGGTACCAAGAATACATAATGGCAAAAGGATAGTCTTCAACAAGTGGTGTTGGAAAAACTGAACAGCCATTTGAAGGTGAAATTGGACACATCTCACACCGTATACAAAATGCCATACCATATACAAGAGATAAGTGTTGCTGAGGATATGGATAAAAGGGAAACTTCGTACTACCTTAATCAGACTAAAGTTTAACATTTGCTTAAACAAGTCCACACTATGCTATGAATTACCTGACTATCAGGATCCTTCCACTGTAAATATATATTTTGCTCTCTGTAATTAATGTTATTTATAGGATATTTTGAAATCATGTGAATAGCTTCTCCCTGAACAATCTTTATTTTACTTTTAATCTCATTTTATTGTTTGTCTTCCCTACTATAATGTGTACTCTACAAGAGCAGAGATTTTTGTCCGTCTTATTCATTGCTGTATCCCCAGTGTTTAGAATAGTGCTTGGCACATAGGAGACCTTCAACAGATATATATTAATTGAATCATTATTAACTGTATACCTCTGTATCCTGAGACAATGAACAACTTAAAGGCAAAAGTGTTGTTTTCTTCATCTTTGTATTTACAGAAAGCAAGCACAATATTTAGCAAATAATGACTCAATTGTTATTTTAATTTTTAAAGACCATGGGTGAATGTTATAATATATAGGCCTGACTTATTTTCCTCATCCATAATGTATTAAAAACAATATATATCTATTTATGTTTATAAGAAATAGTAAGATTTTAATATTTCTTTTAAAGATAAGAAGTAAAAATCCTCCTAATTTGAAATTCAAGACTTTCAGGAAAAAAAGTACTAAATTATATATTCCATCATATATGAATTTTTTATTTGCTTTGCTAGCTTACATGTTTAATGACATTTTATTGGTTCAATGCTAAAATGCCAAATTACTTTTTAAGCAATACTAATTACCTGTAATGCTTTTACTGTTTCCTTCAATCCTTCTATTTCTTTTTCTTTTATTTCTGTAGCAAGTTGATATTTTCCCTTTAAGTAAAAAACTGTATTTCAGTATTTTCCAATGTAAATGATATTATTAATGGGGAAATATAAGAGCTCGAGAACCAAAATCTCCACTTTCAACCTAATTCTTCACAGGCTTTAAACTTGTATCTGCATTACAACTTATATGTCTAATAACTTCAAAATATTATAAAATTACAATTTAAGTCCTTTATAAGATTATAAATATCATGAAATGGAAAATCTTATAACGACAAATCATTTTATCAGTAGAGCATTCTTGAGAACTTAAGGATTCTATTAATTATTTAATTCATATAACTAGAATAAATACATTCTAATTAATAAGAAAGCTACGTTTGTCTTATAAATTTAAGGATATGGGAGAATTTTTAAAAGAAGGTCTTTTGCTAAACTATAAATTACTAATATTATAAAGAGCATGTTCATTAATATAATAAAAAATGTATTAACTATTAGATAACTAGAGAAAATATTTAATGCCAAATAAATTTCTAGGTTTGGAGTTATGTCCTCTTTTCCAGTTGGTCTGTACCCAGATGCTAATCCTTGTAATGTTTTTTAAAGAAGAAAATTACATTCAAAAGGACCAAAAACCTATTATACTTAATAAAAATATTGCAGCAGAGTAGAAAGAGCATTAGTTTGGGGGCTGAAGAGACCTGTGTTCTAGTTCCAACTTTGCCACTTCAAAATGGGAGCATCAAGTCCAGCAGGTCATTTAATCTTGCTGGGCCTCAGTACTCTCAGTTCTAAATCAACAGCGGTTAAGTAACATGATTCCCTTGGGTCCTTTCTGTTTCTAAGATTTTAAGCAATTAACAGTCGCCATTAGTTTATTATTAATGCTCCTTTCCATTATGGTGAACAATTGCTATTTAAATACATTTAATTGTGCTTTAAATTATTAAAAGGATTAATACCTTTTCTTCTTCCAAGGCACACATCTTCATTTGCAACTGACAAACAATTTCAAAAATTAAAATACAGGTAAGTAAACTGCTAACAGTGATATACATTGGTCAGTGAGACTACAGAAATATTTTATATGTATATATTGTTTGAACTTAACATAATATGAATACCCTAATTTTACACTGAAAATAATAAAAGATATAAAAGGGGGAAACAGCAAGTCACCAAAGAAAATGAACAATTCAATCACACTGATTAGAATCACCAATCATCCTTGAAAGTTTGTTTTTCCCTTCCATAATTTTTCTTAAATGTTTCAGTAATTTGCCATCTACTCATAAATAATAATAGAACATTTTCTGAGGACACACTTATATGAAATCTATATTACTTGTATTTGCATTGACAGTATTTTCTGGGAATTTAAAAAATGCACGTGGCAGTCTAATAAATAATGATATTTTAAAGCAGAAAAACTATAGCAAATGTGCCAAAGAAAAACTAATTAAATAATCTAAGTTCTAAGCAATACAAGGATAGTAGGCAAAGTTGTCAAGACATAAAATTTTTCTTTGGAACTTCTCCATGTCATTTTCTGTATTTCTCATTACATTTAAGAATCCTTTCTTTAAAAAAGAAAAGAAAAAGAACACAAGAGCACTTTCTCCTCTACCCTTCAGATGCCTGGATATTCTTATTTTGCACAAAGTACCTTGTGATAACAGAGATATAGACTTGCTCTGTCCTAGAGAAGACTATGCTGTACATTTGGCTTCTGCTTCCTTATCTTTCAATTAAAACTTCCATAACTTTGGTGACGTCAATCTCAGACCAAAAGAAAGAAAGCTTATCATCTGCTTAAATAAATCCATACTACAGTGAGAATTACCAATAGCCTTAACCCATTAGAGATTTACATCATACAGGTTTATTTCTTGTTATACATTTGTCTTTCTAAACATACACACTTGGAGATGAAGAAAAAATGAGGAAAGGAAAAAGGAATTTAAAAACTGGTATGCTGGAATGGCCATAAGGAAAAAACATTTCCAGCAGATATTTCCCCATGAGCGTATTTCTTACATTCATAGTTACTAACTAGGGAATGAAGGGAAATTTGAGGTAGTAAAAGAATTCGAAATCAAAATAACTAAGAAGTTTCTATTCATTTCTTTGAAATCTTTTTTTTTCAATTTTTCTACAAATCTTAGTTGTTAATGGTTAATATTTACAGAGGCTTCAGTGCATGATAATCACATTCCCTCATCTTTTACATCTCCCTACTTGCATCTCGGCTTGTTATCAGTGTTATAATTCTGGCTTGAGTAAAGGAGTAATGTGGAAAAGGTAAGATCTAGGAAACTCCAATTAAACAGAGAAGGGGGAAAGGGAAAGAAAGCATAAGACACACATCACTAATCTTATTTAGGACAGATGAAAACACATCTCCAAGAAGATAGTTTTCCCAGTTTCTCTCCATAACTAACTCATTCTATTATATTACACTTTATTATCAGTTGTGATTCAAAATAACTATTCATTTCCTGCTTCCAATAATACCATTTTTGTGTTCAGTACATATGGAGAATAACTTATAATATTCATGAAAATGAGGAAAAAGTGCAATATTTAAAACTGTAGTGTTTGTCTATCCTTATAAAATTACCTGCTTTTTAAAAACTGCCATTGCTTCTTTGTGTTGCTTTGCTAATGTTTCCTTTTGATTCTGAAGATTTTCCTATTTTAAAAAATTATGAAAAATTAAAACAAATTCTTAGAAACTTTCAGTTTTAAATTTTAATTGAATTCATAATTTAAATAAGTTAAACATACTTATTACATATATTACTTCGTGCTCCTGAAATGAAACTTTAAACTAATTTATGATTTTTTAACTGTCAGAATCAGCATACAGTAATTTTGCTTCCAGCTGCTTCGTGATAAAACACATCGCTTTTTAAATTTTTTAACTCTAAACATGGCTTGCTCCAAAGCCTTCTTCAAGAAAATATCTTGAGAGTAAATAAAATTAATATCCTAGTACATAAGCAGACTATAGTCTTAGAGTTTCCAAAGAAATCAATTTTATTATCAAAGCTCTACTGTTCCTATGGCAACATATGATTCTTTAAATTCACTGAAATAAGTTTTTACAAAACCAGAATTACCACAGGGCATTTCTGAAAAAATTCCACATATATGATTCCATTCATTTTATTTCCTTCTCCTCCTCCCCTTTTTTGGCAGAAGTTGTGTGCTCTGTTCTTTAGATTCAAGTTTGAATTTTTTCTATTTTTATTAAATAATTCTCATAATAAAAAAATAAATTAGGCCTAAGAGCACCACTTTCAAATGTTTCTATTATTTGACTCTATGTTTCTAAATACATGTTGGCTTAACAATTTAAAAAATTTATCTACTGATCTCCTATTATGATAGTCGGGAGTTTAGCTTTCTTGTACACCCACTACCCTACATCTCTTCCCTCTATTCCTCCAAAAGAGTTATATAAAAAGTGTGGTTTAAATCAATAGTCAGTATTTATACTATTACGACATATAATTTTATTCGATATAGAGCCATACAGGATACCATGATTACATTTCTATTCTTATACAACTTTCTATTTTTCCTGGGGTTAACAATTAATTTAAAATACTTTAATTCTCATAGCTAATTTTTAAACATTATCCTCTGATTCTTGAATTCTGATTCTTATGTACCTCCTGTTCCCACTTCAATATTGCCAAATAGTGAGAAGTGCCTTCATAGTTAAGCTTCCAATTTTAACTGTTAAAATTAATTTGGTGGAAAGGTATGAGAAGCACTATAAAAATGTTTTTATATAGACAAGACTGGAGATAAAATCCGATCTGATACTATTATTTTTTTATATTTGATTACAGTACGTAACAACAGCTTAGAAAAATGTTACAATTCTGAGGTTTCACTTCTTAAAAAATATTTTGACTCCTCTATAACACACGATGTTTCTCAGATATAAAATAGTTCACAGTTTTCAGTGTTACCCTCAGCTATTTTATTATCTGAAAGTCTGAAAAAATTTTTCTGAGTTTTCTGGAAGCCCAAATGTTATTAACAGTTTTAGCTGAATTTTCTTGAGAGTTTAAAATGATGCACAATTCTCTGAATATGTTTAAGAAATTTAGACATTAACTTTGCAATTAAATATTAAAATACATTTTTAAATAGATGCTGAAAATGCTAATCTGAGAAAAAAATACTCACCTTTTGCCATTTAAGTTCTTGTATCTCCACAATAATTTTACCAATCTGCTCTTCATACTGAATTTCTGCTTCCTAAGAAGAAGAAGGAAATGCTAGGAAAACTAAGACTTTAAATCTTCCAGTATTAGCCCCTTGTAGAGAGAGATAAAAAGAGCATCTTCCCACCCTTACAACAAGAAAAATTACAAATTAAATAGACAAATCCATCACAGAAATGAAATCTCAGATTAACCAAGAAATCCAAAATCTGGACAGATACAGGTGTCTGCTGGGAGAATTGAACTGCAGTATTTGCTTACCTAACACATAAGCCACTAAGTACTGATAAGAAACCTCAGCTAAAAGTCCTTAATAAATTGCTAAAGGCAGAATGTGGCCTAGTATAAGAATGTGAATCCCCTGGAGACTCCAGAAATAAGGAGGTTTATACCTTCTACCAGGCTTTTCTTCCAGGAAACCGAACAGGTACTGGTACTGACAGAGAAGAGTGGAGAAAAGTCCTGAGAAAGCTTTCTCTTGTGGTACTGGCTGGAGAGAAGAGCAGTTATAGGCCATCTTCCTTATTTCCCCTACAAACCAAAAACCTTAATCTGCAGGAAAAAGGACAACAAAAACTGTTGTCATTAGGACACTAGTGGAAACCTTCTGCAACCAGGAAAAGGGACCAACAATCACCACTGAAAACTCTACTGAGACAGAACTGTCTTCCTTACCTTTCCCAGGAAACAAAAGCTTAATCTACAGGGGGAAAGGCAATAAAAACTACAGCATGAGAGCACCCGTGGAAGCCCATTGACGCTAAGAGAAGGCTAGAGAAATAAAACAACAGTTCTATCACTGAAGAAGAGGTAGGAAAAGATGCTAGGCCCAGCATTTAAATATGGAGGAGGGATCAAAACTCTTTGAAGACCCAACCCTAAGACTAAAGTTCACTTAAGACCGAGGCTTAATAAGAACGTTAGAGAATGCCTTTGTTCCGCCCCCTGCTATAACCGCCCCACGAACAAGAACAGGAAGATACAGCTGAAAGAACTGCAAAGAAGGACTTGCCCTGGGAAGCAGCACACAGGGAAGACCCAAAGTGGGGAGCCCCAAAGCCAGGCAGGAAGCAGTTATGTAAAAAAACCCTCTGATTTTGTTTAAAATAATGTAATACTCCTGAATTAGCCCACATCATAAACACAAAGTATCACCAGAGAAATATGAAGCTTCTGTTGAAAACTTTAATAGGTAGGCTAAAAACTGCCTGAGTGCTGAACATGTGCCTCAACACACATACAAAGAGCCCTTCTGCAAAGGCTGGGAGGTTGTTTTTCTTTTTCTTTTGGTTCCATGTATTTAAGGAAATCTCTGTTAAACAAAGCACTAGCTGATAACTAAGCTAAGGGCACAATGACTTCAGTGGCCAGACATGACAAAAACTGCAGACCTTATATAATTATTTCAGTCAAAACCAAACAAACAATGACAACAAACAACAACCCAGGGGAGAGCGAGGAATCCTGATTCCAGAGTTGCCAAATATCCAAAATGGCCATGCCCAGTTCTAAACAAAAAATTACGACGCATCCAAAGAAACAGGAAATTGTGATCCACATACAAGAAAAAAATTAATAGGAACTGTTAATGAGGAAGTGTAGGCAAAGACTTACTAGACAAAGACTTTTAACCAACGTTTTTAAATATGCATAAAGAGCTAAACAAAACCATGTACAAAGATACTGCAGCCACTAAAAAGTTAATAAGAGAATGCTACAAACAAGTTTATGCTCACAAATTTGACAGCTTACAGAAATAGACCAATTCTTCAAAAACTATGAACTACCAAACCTCAACCAAGGTGTTATAGATAATATGGTCCTATAAGCATTAACTTAAAATCTCCTCTCAAAAATATCCAGGCCCACAGGGTTTCACTGGAGAATTCTACCAAACATTCAAAGATGAATTAACACTACTTTTACACAGCCTTTTCCAGAAAAATATAAGGGGAAGGAGCATATCCCAACTCATTTTTTGAGACCTGTTTACTATGACACCAAAACCAGACAAAGACTACAAAAAAAGAAAACAAAGACCAATATCTCTGACAAGTTCTGATGGAAAAATCCTTAATACCATAATAGCAAATGGAATCCAACAATGTATACAAAATGATACACCACAATCAAGTAGAGTTTATTCCAGATATGCAAGGCTGGTTCAACAGTTGGTTAAATTCACCATATCAACATGTAAAAGAAGAAAAATCATATGACTGTATCAATTGACACAGAAAGGGCATTTGACAAAAATCTAAGACTCACTCATGAAAAAAAAAAAAATTCTCAGCCAGTTAGGAATAGAGGGAATTAATTCAATTTAATAAAGAGCATTTATAAAAACACTACGTTTAACATATTTAATGATGAAAGAACGAATGCTTTCCCTCTAAGATCAGGAACAAGGCAGGGCTATCTACTCTCACTGTCCTTATTCAACATACTCCTTACTGGAAGTTCCAGCTACTGCAATAAGGCATGGATGGATGAATGGATAGACAGAGAGAGGAAGATTGGGAGTGGGGAGGAGACAGTGAGAGGAAAAGAGACAGTGAGGGGGGAGAGACATCAGGGTACAGGGGAGGGAGGAAAGGGAAAGGACAGCAGGGAAGTGGGGTGGGCAAAAGAAAGGAAACAGATCAGAGTTCAGAAAGAAGTAAACTGTCTCTATTTGTATATGACACAATTGTATATATAAAAAATCCCAAAGAATCTATAAAAAATTTCCCAGAACTAATAAAGCAGCTCAACAGGGCCATGGGATACAAGATGAACACTCCCCAAATCAATCACATTTATATACACTAACAACAAAAATGCAGAAGCCAAAATGAAATAATTAGGCATACACTTAAACATGTACAAGACTGATATGCTGAAACATGGATGAATTTAAAACATTATGCAGAGTGAAAGAAGCCTTACCTAAAAGAGCATATACTGTATGATTCCATTTATATGAAATGTTAGGAAAAGCAAAATTAATTGAATATGGAAAAAAATGCTTCGTGGGGAGGGAGTAGGTATAGAATTTGCCTGGGAAGGGGCATGAGGGAACTTTCTGGGTTGATGGAAACATTTTATATCTTGATAAGGGTTTGCATTATGCAGGTATATGCATCTGTAAAAATTCATAAAATGTATTTTATGATTTGTGTCTTTCATTGTATGCAAATTTTACTGTAAAGAAAAAAAGCTGTTAACAAATTTGAACTGCTTAATGACATACATTCCAAAGTATTTAGGAGGAAGTGCACTGATGCCTGCAATTTACTCTGATATCATCAAAAATGAAATTAAAGGAGAAATAGATAGACAACTATGTGATAAACCAAGTATAGTAAAATGTTAATAGTGCATGAGTGTTCACTGTTAAATTCCTTCAGTTCTGCTGTATGTTTCATAATTTTCATAACAAAATAGAAGAAATCAAAGAGTGGATGCTAACAGATAACATGTTTTTGTCATTAAACTTTTTTTTAGGACTCTTACACATTGTTTATTACACACACACACACACACACACACTAACTTATGCTATGGTATTCAAAAGCAGGCTTTAATGAAAGCTGTCTCATTTAAAATGCTTTCAGTAGTAAGTAGCAACAACAAACCCCAACTCACAATGGCATATGAGACTTATCTCACATGACAATTACTGAACAATATCATCAAGAACTATGATTCTGCCCATCTTTATATTTTGCCATTATCCAAGTGATTTATTTTCCTTAGGCTCTTCAACTCTTGGTTACTTTCATTGCAAGCATTAAGGACAAAAAAATGACATTATCCTGCAGTGGAAAAAGTATAATCTCTTAATAAAATGATAAAACTTTTCCCAGAAGCTTCCCAACACACATCTTCTAATATTTCATTGGCCATAACTAGGTTACATGCCCACTCCTAAATCAGTCATTGGAAAGGGGAGTGCACAGGACCTTTGTGAGTGGTTAAGACCAGTCAGGATTTACCTGACTCACATTGGTGAGAGGTAGACCCTAAGACACAATCTGAGTTCTTCCAACATGGAATAAGGGAAGGAATGGATACAAACAGTAATACATATCTCTATAGTCAAACATATTGAAAAAGGAAATAACTGTATACACATTTGGAGGGGAGGTAAATATAACATGCATGTTTTCCCAAAGCAGTTGAATTGAAAATGTACAAGATACTGCTTTATGTGCACCTGGTTATACACTTCTCTTTTAGTGGCTATAGTGGGTTCTGAGATCATACTATGATTTAAGTATTGTTCTAAGCATTTTTAATGTACTGATTCATCTTAGGTATAATTTTTATGAGGTAAGTACTCTTATTGCCAACATTTTATAGATGAGGAAACTGGCATAGCAAAAGGATAAGCAACTAGCCTGAAGTCACATACTAGGTAAACAGCAGAGCTAGTATTTGAACCTAGATGATCTGTCTCCATAATCTCTTAAACACATCACTATATTACCTTTAAAAGATTGGATCTATAGGATAGTATAGATTGTTATGATATACTCCTTTTCTTCAAAAACTCCAGAATTTAGTCTTCATATCCCACAAAAGTTAGAAAACCACTCAAAATCATATTACCTATTTTAAATATACAAGTATATTCTGATTATTTGGTAGAACACTTAAAAGAACAAGAAATATGTGTTAAATGAAAAAAATAGAATTTTAAGAATTACTATGAATGTTCTAATATTAATTTTTTTATTTCAGAGATCATTGTAATAGATTAAGTTGAGTGATATAAAAACAGTTTAAATACTAATCAAGAAAGAGATATTTAAAAATATGAACTTTTAGGCTATACCATATACATTACATATTTATCTAGAATATTTTGTAGCTAATCAAACCAAGAAACTATCTGAAAGAGTGATTAGTACTTTATTAGACAACATGAGAAAATAAACTGGGCAATTTTGTAAGAGGTGGATTATGAGTTTGAAAAGGAGACTATAAGTACCCAGTTACAGTTTTGGCTACTTGATCATGTGCCTGCTGTACATACTATGTCCCTAAATC